TTGAGAAAAAAAAAAATATTTATTAGAAAATATATGGAATGAATATTGTTGAATTCATCTTAAAATCATAAAAGGACAAACCCTATATATTCTATTATTCACAAAGGCTAATATTTCAACACAATATATACCGAGATAATTTTACAAACTTTACATTAGAAAAAAAAGAACAACTCAAACACCAAGGGTGTGTTTGTTTTGTGTTTTGGTTTAGAGGAATATAGGGTTTAGGGTTTAGGATTTAGGGTTTAATAAAAAGTGAAAACCAGATTTACAATAGATGCTCTAACCAAACTCGACTATGCAGGTTCCATATATATGCCACTTTACTCGTGTAGTTACAAAAGTAATTTTTGTGTTTAAAAAAAAAAATATATTCTCTCCATCACGCATATTTTTATTATTTTTTGCACAAAATTTGTTATAATAGTATTATATGACATTAATAGAAGTATTTTTTCTTTTTTCTTTAATTTGTACTACGTTTTCATATAATAATTAATATTTAAAGATCAACAAGTAAAACATAAATGAGTCTTAGAATCGGACAGAGGAAGTATATTCCTTATGTGTGTAGTAAAAATATAAATGGATATTAGAGAGTTCATTTAATTTGAGTTTCAATTTTTTTGTTTTTAATTATTCAATCACCGCAAATCTAAATAAAAATAGTATTGTTTTTTTTTTAAAATAAAATATCATAAAAAATACTATTTTAATTGATATTTAAAAAAAAGAAAATCAAATCCAAATCTAAATCGAACAAATCGGAAATATCTATATATTTCTATTTATTTATGTTCAAAGATATATAATAAGAAAATATATTTGTTACTAATATAGAATTTTCGATCAATAATAATAATAATAATAATAATAATATTGACTTTTTTTTTAAAAAAAGTTTAACTTGATTTTAATGATTTTTACTGTGCAACCAATAAAGTTGTGTTTATTAAAAATACAAAAAACAGTTCTATATTCAGTTTATTGAATAAAATCACCATCGATAAAATATTCATAGATTACGATTTTTGTCATAAAATAATGAACATTAATTATAGTATTGAATAGAAAAAATATTCTGAAATATATTATGAAATCTCTTATATAAGCTTTTTTTTATTTATTTATTTTTATGGAAATAAACTTGTATTGTTTAAAAATAAAAATGTCGTAGATCTTTTAGTTGACCTAATAATTTTCTAAATTTTGAATATTAAAAAAAAAATTATGCATTTATTTAGCAACAATTTAAAATTGATTTGAAATAAAGTATTATTTTAAATTTTATTTAAATAGTATTTTGAGAAAAAATTATAGTATATAAATATATTATTGAGATATTTTAGATATTCAGTTTTAAATTTAATAAATTTATATTTAGATTTGATCTTATCCATAAATTAAATTACTTAGATTTGACTCTATCGAATATGTTTTGTATTGGCTATATATAGGCCCCTTATTTTGATGATCAACAGACAATTTCATTATTTTCCCCCTAAAATTTTAAATATGGTATCAGAGCCTATTTTCTCATGCCGTAGATATAGAGTGTGTTTGGCAAAGAGCTTTTTCAATAGCTTGTAGCTTATTGAACAATTTTTAGATGTTTGACTAGTCAAACAACTAATTTAGGTGTTTGGTAAATTAAATTTTTGAAATAGTTTTTTGGACCTAAAAATTTAATTTCTGAAAGGCTAACTTACCCAAAATTTTGAAATAGCTTTTTCAATTTAAAATTTTTTATTCTTTATTTGCCATTAAAAATTTATTATGTATTCTACACAAATAAATATATTTTGATTATTTATTAATTATATTAGAATATTTTATTATATTATAGTTTTACTTTTATAAATTTAAAATAATTAATTTATATACTTCCTTCGTCCACTGCAAATCTATCTATTTTGCCATTTTAGTCGGTCCATCACAAATGTATCCATTTTCTTTTTTAGTAAATGTACCTCCCACTAAAATATAAAATTACCCCACCCTTTATATAATATTATATAAATGCCCTCAAATAACACCACTTAATACTATAAATGCTAAGGGGTATAATAGTCTTTATGTATATCAATTATATCACATATCAATATAATACTAATATGGAGTATACTAAAATCTACGTACAAAAAGTAAACGGATTGATACGCGGTGGACGTATGGAGTATAAAAATTATTTTAATTGTAAAATACAGAAATTTATTAGAATTATCAACAAAATAGAAAATATAAATATAAATAATTTAATTTTATATTAAAATTACATTATATAAATTTTATACGAAAAATAAATTAAATAAATTAAATTTAATAAAAATTATAAATATAATGAAATAATCGATAATTAGCATCATAAATATATGCATAAAAAATTTATCATTATATATTTTACATCATTTTCAATAGAAAAAAATATTTATATTTTTCAATAAAAATATATTTTTTTAAATTTAACTATAATAAAAATAAATATTATTTTATAACACTTTTACAATTTTCAATAATTAATAACAAAAAATTTCAAATATTTTAAACTCAAAAGAACACAATTGAATATATTAGGAAAAAAATAAAATAAAAATGTCCTCAATTGTCATTTTACGTATAAACATCTAATATCAAACAGTTGTTTTATCAAACATTTTAATACAAACAGCTAATCGAATCAGCTAGTCAAACCAGCTAATTGAATAACTGATAGCTATAAGCTAATTGAATAAGCTAACAGCTATCAGCTAAATGCCAAACACGTCCATAGTATATAAACCCGCGTTTCTCTGGGTACATTCAACCTGGATTGTACCCGGATGTCTTGTGATTTTGAGATCATGTCTTTGCAAGTCTGTTTTTTTGCAAATTTGTCTCGTCTGCGATCTGTCGTATGTCCGTTGTCTGTCTGTTCCTGCATGTAATTTGAAATCTGTCTGCGATCTGTCATCTTTCATGTATGTTGTCTGCATGCGATCTTAAATTTGTCTGCGATCGGCCATCTGTCCGTTGTTTGTCTGTTGTCTGCGTGTGATATGAAACTTGTCTGCAATTTGTCATTTGTCCGCTGCTTGTTTGTTGTCTGTGTGCAATCTGAAATTTTTCGGCCTCGGTGGATTCATGGCGTTTTCGGCTCCAGTGGAGAGTCATCTTGTTTCGACTCTGGTGGAGAGTCATGTCGTTTTTTGCTCCGGTGGAGTCATGTCGTTTTCGGCTCCGCGTAGAGTCATGTCATTTTAGGCTCCGATGGAGTCATCTCGTTTTAAGCTCCGGTGGAGTCATATCGTTTTCGGCTCCGGTGGAGTCATGTCGTTTTCGGCTCCGGTGGAGTCATGTCGTTTTCGACTCCGGTGGAGAGTCATCTCGTTTTCGTCTCCGGTGGAGAGTCATTTTGTTTTCGATTCCAGTGAAAAGTCATTTTGTTTTCGGTTACAGTGAAAAGTCATTTTGTTTTCGGCTCCGGTGGAGAGTCATCTCGTTTTTTTTGCTCCGGGGTGGAAAGTCATCTTGTTTTCGGTTCCGGTGGAGATTCAACTGTTAATTTTATTTTTTTTCATTTATATTCAACTTTCTTATCCAACTCAAGTTGATTTCTGTTATACCACTTTAGTTTGAAGAGGAATGTTGAAATATTTCAGATTTAGTAATTTTATATTTAGATTTGGTTTTATCCATTGATTAAATTATTTAGATTTGACTCTATCGAGTCTGTTTTATATTGTCTATATATAGACATCTTATTTTGATGATCAAGAGACGATTTCATTATTTTTCCTAAAAAATTTTTAACATATATATTTATTAGAAAATGTATGGAATGAATAGTGTTGATTTCATTTTAGATCATAAAAGAACAAACCCTATATATTCTATTATTCACAAAGACTAAATATTTCAACACAATATATACCGAGATAATCTTACAAACTTTACATTAAAAAAAAAAAAAAAAACAACACTAAGGGTGTGTTTGTTTTGTGTTTTGTGTTTTGGTTTAGAGGGATATATATATATATTTTTCTTATTCATGTTAAGTATGATGAATTGTGCAGATCATATAAAAAGAATAATGATTGTGTGTAATATATTAATTTTTTGGGGGTAAATATGTTGAAAAAATTTGCGTTAAACAACACACCCTAAACTAACCTGCATATAACAGTCTATTAATAAAAAATAAAATAAAAGTGATGAAGGCCACAATTCTTTCCCCAAAATTATTTAAAAGAGTAGGGGAGCAGGTTTATTTTAGAATGAAACATTTGGATGATCCTTAGTTGTTATTTTAATATAGAGTCGAAAACAGAACTCTCAACGGCGTTAGAGTCGAAAGTAAACTCTGTCAGTAGAGTAGTAGAAGCGGAGATGACATAAAAATAACAGCATGATCGTAAATAGAAGCAAATACATTAATAAAATATAAAAATATATACATGATAAAATGGGTTATGGAGGTACCCGGGTTATAATATGAAACTGAAATTCTCTATTTCAATCATAAGAATACGTATATATTTATAATGATATAAAAATCCTTTAAATAAGACAAGAATCCTATAAATCAAAATAACTATCATAAATATAATATATTGCTTCTAAATATATTTAACTAGGTTTATTTTAGAATGAAACCTTTGGATGATCCTTAGTTGTTACTTTGGTTGATAAATAAATAAAAAACATAAGACGTAGTATACTAAGTTCTAATAACATATACACAATGGTTTCTACGATGTAGTTTATCCTAATAATAAAAATACTAATAATAATAATAATAGCAAAGAAGGTTGAGGTTTTCTTCTTATTAATTTGATTGTTAGTGTGAGGGGAGCCATGGAAGAAGATAAGGAAGCTAAGGTTGGGTCAAAGTCAGTAATAATACAACACAATACAATACAAACCACCGATGGACTTAATTACGCCCGCCCTATTCTGACCTCACCAAATCTGTCTGCTTCACAACATTTCCCCTATAAATTCACCCCCACATTAACACATCATCATCATCATCATCAACACTCGCATTAATTTCCAGTTAACAAAAAGCACAACAAACAGATACTACAATGGCGATCAAGACCATGGTGATCCTCGCCCTTCTCCTTGCTGCATTCCTCCTCGTAGTCGCAGCAACTAACGAACAAGGTGAGTGCACTATACTAATCCTTTCTGAATTCTGATGGACGACTAAATTAAGATTATACATATATTTATATTCCATGAGCAATTAATAATATAACTAATGATCGATTTTGGCCTGTGTTTTGGACGTGAATAGTTGAACCTGAGCATGACGGCGGCAGAGGCGGAAAGGGAGACTACCAGCGTGGAGGTGGAAAGGGAGACTACCAGCGTGGAGGTGGAAAGGGAGACTACTACTGCCGCCACTGGTGTGGCCACCGCTGCTGCAGAGATGCTGCCGAGAAGGCCGAGTTCGATGCTCAAGTTCAACCCCAGGGCCACGGCGGCGGCTGCCGCCACTGGTGTGGCCACCGCTGCTGCAGAGATGCTGCCGAGAAGGCCGAGTTCGATGCTCAAGTTCAACCCCAGGGCCACGGCGGCGGCTGCCGCCACTGGTGTGGTCGCCACTGCTGCAAAGACGCTGCCGAGAAGGCTGCCTTTGATGCTCAGGTTCAACCCGAGAGCCAACAGAAATACGGCTGCCGCCACTGGTGTGGCCGCCACTGCTGCAAAGACGCCGCCGAGAAGGCCGCCTTCGATGCTCAGTCCCAGACCCAAAACTGAAGGAATTAGCCATAGCTCACAGAACATGCTTCGTCAATAATATCTCTTCCTCATATATGCATATAATTATGTACGTATTGTATTATACGTATGACTCAATAATTTGTGTGAGAGAGATGATTAGTCGTCATCTCTCTGCATGCATGCTCCTGTAGTGTGTGCCTTCTTGCAGCCAACATGCAATGTTATCAACCTTTTAATAAATATGTCGCAAAGCCTTTGTAAATCAAGTGGTGAGGCATCCCCATGGAAAGCTATGACCGGATTCGATGATCTCGGGAGCATGCGTGTGTATGGGTAAAATATATATACATTCGACCTCATGCATGCATAAAATTGAACTGAAATTGCTTCCCGAGCATTGAAATCTGAGGGTAAATTGATGAACATGATCCGTAAAATATATGTTAGAAACATTAATTTCAATGGATTTATACCCAAAAATTGTCGTAAATTCTTTTGAAAACTATCAAACAATGTATTCCAAGTTTTGATATCCATCTTAAGAACTATAATTCCTCAAATGTGTTGCAACCAAGTTTCAACTACTCCTTTGCTCTATAGTATATAAAACCCCAATATTGGGTGCAAAAATTAAGATACACTCTCGATTCACGCACAATAATATTTTGTAATACTCTACACCCAGGACTATGGTATAAGAGCAAAAGGGAAAGTATACATTCCTTTATCCACGTATCAGATCTTCGGTCTTTTCCAAACTTCATACAAGAGGAATTACTCCGCAATAGTTTTTCTTTTATATATTCTACAAGAGGAATCACTCCACAAGAGGAATCAATCATTTGGAGAAAGTCGATATATTCTACTCTTTACAGATGACTGTAGCCATATGAGTTGGGTGTATTTGTTAAAATTTTTAGTCTAAAACATTTCGTACTAGTACCATAATATCCTACACCACCAGATATTAAATATGAAGAAAAATTGAAATTTCATACTAGTAAATATAATGTTCAATTAGTTTATGAATGGAATCTTCGAGGGCTCAATCAGTTTATGAATGGAATTTGAGAGCGAATATGAGTATGAAATATTAAATATAATTCAAAATTGATATGACTGGACTTGCCTATAAATATAAAAATGTAGATGAAAAGAAATCTATTTAACTTATTATTTAAGGTTTTACTAGTCAATTAAAATTTTATGGGATGATTTATTTAAATTTTAGAACATAAAATAGAAGTTGAAGATGAATTAAAAAATATATCACCCAAGCCCTTCAACAACTGATTGTTTAATACTTACTATTGCTATGTATTTTGTAGAAAATCTTATTGAAAAATTAAATTCATCAAAAATGTTTTTTTTAACACATTTACAATGTTCTACGTTATCATATTTTAGATGGTACAAATATATATTTTTTAACTTATATATATATTAAGAAGACATGATTGTAACCCTTCACTTTAGAAAGAAAAATTTATAATTGGATTACCTTCTATATTTTCAAAAAGAATTGTGAACAATTTTCAAAATGAATTAGGAATTGAAATAATAAATTTTGAATTAATAAGATTTGGTCAATTATTTGCTTTAATTAAAAATAAAGGTTTAGGATTATGTTGGGAATTAAAAATACAAGTTAGATTTGGTTCCGAATGTAGAGAAGTAGTTTTCTTTTGTCAAACCTTTGGTATAACTGGAATAAAAAAATCCTTCGCCTCAAAACCCTAAACATACAAAATATAAATGTCATTACAAGAATTATGAAAATAGGAAACTCAAGATGTATTCAAATAATTACAAAAGAAATAAGAGTAATAATATAACATGTTGAAAACATGGCAAAATAGGTCATAAAGCAAACAAATGTAATTTAAAAATGAAAATTAATAAAAATGATCAAGATTCAGATTTAAAAGACTAAATAGTTATATTATTAAATCAAAGTTCTGACAATGAGAGAGAAAAGTCTCATACAAGTAGTGATCATTCATGTAAGAAAATTCTGAATATTATTTAATAAATTAAAATTTTTAGTTTTATAAGAAAAAGAACATGTCAAATTAATTGAACCATTTAGTTTACTAAGATTTTAGATAAGTATTCGTGAAATACTTTGTCTATTAATAAGAAAAATTCTTCACAGATAATTCAAAGTAAAATTAACACATTAAAAAGTCATGTTAACAAATTAAAAGAAAAAGTAAATTAACTACAAACCAAAGATTTAGAAATCGAGGCTATACTTACTTCAATTATAGTGAAGGATACCACCGTACATCATAAAATTCACCCTTAACATAAATAAAATTTGGAACATAATTTAGGAACATCTTTTTTATTCGAATTAATTCACTTGCTTCGCATAGTCAAAGAATTTGTCCTACTATTATGGAAAAAAAAAAATATATATATATATATATATAACCTTTAAATTTTTGCAAACGATTGAACAAAAAACGTTAACTTTACTTCAAAATTCTTCTATATTTCGGCAAGAAAATAATATACAAAAGAAAAATGAAATCATGTTTCCATAAAAAGAAAAATATAGTATGAAATAAAATCTACCATATTATTTTACTGCATTCTAATACTTCTTTATTTTTGCAAGAACGAGTAGTCAAAATCAACCATACCAATCTACTATCCAAAAGGCTAAAGATTAGGAAATTGATTCAATAGCAGTTATCCATACTCAAAATCGATTTAAACATTTTCACGCGTTTATCCCCCTTTAACTTACACTCAAACAACTCAAACAACAGTAACTATTTCAAAACCACAAAATTCAAATATGCTAAAACTTAATCTTCCATCTCACCCAAACAACCAATTCATTCTTCATATTTTACAAAAGATATTGGTGAATATGTTACTTTAACTCATTTCAAATGTATTTCGGACATGGATAATTTAAAAAAATTCACTCAACGGCTTTTTTTTTTTCAATAAGATGAAACTAGAGTCTAGATGTCTCATGAAAATCCAAAAGTTTTACGAACTCATTTTTATTGATTCAAATTTTATTGAACTTGTTCATATAAAAACATTAAAAAAATCCAGATTGTGTTGTGTATTCAAAATGTGTCATAAAAAAAAAAAATTATGTTCACAATGTGAGTGGGATTTTTGCATTCAACTAAAATATTTTTAGTCAATTTTTCACCAAAGGGTTATTCATACCATGATTACCACCGAATGACATGGTATAGTGATTTTCTTTATAGGTCATTTGATCATTCATGGTTTATGATATTTCATTCAATTTGTGTCAAAGATTTTCCAATTTAAATTTATCATTGGTGGGCATTTTGTGGCCAAAAAAAAAAAAAAAAAAAAACTTACTTCTTGAAATGCAATTGGATTTACAACTATTTACCAGAAAATTAAAAGCAGGAGAACTCCAAAAGTTAGTACTTTTCATACAAAATTCAAACTCTCATGGATTTTTCTACTTAATTTCGACTTTTTTCAAGTCTATTATCATCCAAATCCATTTCCGCTTGTTCAAAAGTTAGAAATCAAATGGTGAAATCAATTTCAAAGTCAATACTGTAACCAACAAGTCATTACTCATTACCTCCAAACATGAGCGAAATCCGTAAAGGCTCTTAAGAAAATTCCAGAAAGTCTAACAACAAATACTCAAAAGGAAGTTTCAAAGAATCTGATGACTAATGCTCAAACTAGCAAGGCAATATCAACTTCATAAAATCACGAGAAAACTTTTGAAAGCCCAAAGGCTCTTCAAGCTCAGGACAACACTCAAAAGTAGATCCTCAAGTTTATGGAAATGTTAGGAAATTTTTTTTTCAAATTATAAAATTCATAAATCAACAGAGAAAGACAAATGTCTACTTAGATACCACTGAAGAGTCACACCTAATCCATTTAGATGACCACTAATCCAAGACGCATTTGATATATAATCCATAATACTATATACATAATATATTAATGATGTCATTCATATGTGTGTATAAATAATGGCCCCGCCTACCATTAATATTTTAATTGATCAGTAAAATTTTGAATGATAAGATAAATAGCATTTTTTTCATCGATATTTTGATATACATAGGCAAGTCTAGTCATGCCCATTATATCTACTAGTTGAAATTTTTATTATTTTTCATATTGAATATCTCGTAATGTATGTCTATAATAGTAATTTTTAGTTTTTTCATTATTCCATTTTGATGATCTCTTTTTTTATCTTCTACATATTTTATTAATCTTATTAGTTTCTTGAAAATTATCTTCAATTTGAGTAATTTTTTTTTTTCTATAAGTGTTATTCTAATTCAATCTCTTTCGAAAATGAGAAATTAATTTCTTCATTTGGATTACATTGATATAAACAATCAATTTTAGGTAATGAACTTTTTGATAAACTAGCTAAATTAGCTTCTAATTTATTACGACTTTAAGTAATTCTATTTAAAATCATATTATTTAAACATATTTTTATTGATTTATCATGTTCTTTTGGTATACTTCTTGTTTGAAAATGAGGGTTGGAGATATCATTAAAATATTTTGGTTTAGATATTGAATTTATCTTTGTTACGAAGTTACCAACCTTGGGTTGATGGAGCTTGTTGTCTAAAGGCCTGTAGAAACTGTACCCTCTTGCTCCATGGAAGCTCCGCAGCCTGATGGAAGCTATTACCTCCAGCTTTGAGTCATTTGGACTTGGGGTCCAACAATTGTCCTCCAAAAAAAAGGGATAAAATGCGAAACGTGTAAAGCTTTATCATATTTTGGAATTTTCTTCTTGTGGAGCTTTGAATTCTTCTAGAGTCTTGTCAATTTGCTTCCTTTTTTGAAGAGGCTTCTCCATTTGCTTTCCTTTTGGAAGGGACTCTTTCGTCTGCTTTTCTGTCTGAAGCGGCTCTACAACCTACTTTCTTTCTGTAAATAACTCCACAACATGCTTTCTTTCTGAAAGCGGCTTCCCAACCTGCTTCCATTTTGTTAGCGGCCTGAAAAAGACCTGTTTTCATTTTTTTTCATATTTAGCAGTCTGGAAAAGACCTGCTTTCACTTATCCACTTCATTCCTTTATTAAAACTCAAGTGGCGACATATACCCCCTAAGGTGCCTAGCATTAATAACATTTCTATGTTCCGTCCGATCAATATTCATCAATCTATAAGCACCATTAGACAACACTTTACTTACTTGATGCGGACCTTCCCACGTAGGAGACCACTTCCCAAATGTGT